TCGCTTTTCTCTCTTGACTCTCTTTTTCTTCTTTCAAGAAGCTCCATAAACGGGTAATATTTTTTAATGTGGAATAAAATCGATACAAGTTTTTGGGAAATTCAATAATAATTCTGTGTTACAGTTGAAGAATTATTTATTCTTCCTCTTTTATACCTCCTCGGCCTTTCATCTTCCTTCTCCTTTATCCCGCCTCTGTTACTCCTCTTCTCTTTTTTCGCCACCTACTCGTTATTTTCCCTCCGCTCTTCTCTCCGCCTACTCTCCGTCTCTCTCTCTTTCGCTTTAGTCTTTTTCTTCTCTTTCTATTCTCTCTTTCCCCTCACCTCCATGTATTTTCTCTCTAAAATAATTTTCTGAGGAAAAAAATCTATACTTTCTGGGAGTTCAATCATGATTGTATTACACCTGAAAAATTATTTATGCCTCCTGTATATTTTATCCCTTCTTTCTCCTTTATCGTTCCTCTTTCTTTTAACGTTCCTCCATCGTTTATCCCTCCATTCTCTTTTATTCCACTTTTTTCTTTTATCCCTTCACTCTCTTTATTCCCCGCACTTTTTTTCTCTGTATCTATTCTTTCATATTTTCCCCTCTAATCTCTCTCTTATCACTTTCTCTATTCTCTCTCTTCTTTTTTGGGGATTCAATAATGGTTGTGTGTTATATTTGAATTGTGTTTCTCTCTCCACTCTCCTTCTTCTAATCTCTCCCTTTCATCCCTCTTCTCTCTATTATGCAGCCTCTCTTCTATCTTTCCACTTTTATGTCTTCTTCCTCTTTTTTTTCTCGCCCAACTCTCTTTAATCCCTCCTCTCTGTTTTGTGCCTCCACTTTCATTTCTCCCTCTAGTCTCTTTTCTTCCCCCACTCTCTTTTTTTTCTCACTTTCTTCTCAATCTCTCTCTCGACCCTCTTGTCTCCCTCCACCCTCTTGTTTCCCTCAACCCTCTTTTCTACCTCCATTTTCCCCTTGTTCTCTTTTAACTCCATTCGTTTTTCTCTTTTGACTCCCGTTTTCTCTCTCTCTACTCTCTTTTCTTCTTTCAAGAAGCTCCAAAAATATGTAACATTTTTTAATGTGGAATAAAATCGATACAAGGAGATTCAATAATGATTCTATGTTACAGTTGAAGAATTATTTATCCTTCCTCTCTCTCTTTCGTTCTTCCTCTCTTATTTATGCCTCCTGTTTATTTTATCGCTTCCCTCTTTTTTTATCATTCCTCTTTCTTTTGTTTTAACTTTCCTCCGTTTCTCCCTCCTCTCTCTTTTCACCCTCCCCACTGCTCTCTCCCGCCTCTATCTATTATTCCTCCTTTCTTTTTCATTCTACTTTTCTCTTTTATCCTTTCACTCTCTTTTCTCCGCTCACTTTTTTCTCTGTGTCTATTATTCGTTCTCGTTTCCCCCTCTATTCTCTTTCTTTTCACTTTCTTTTCTCTCTCTTCTCTTTCTCTAATCTCTCTCTTCTCTCTCTTCTTTTTTGGGGATTCAATAATTTTTCTGTGTTACATATGAAGAATTATTTATTCTCTCCTTTATTTCTCCTCTTTCCTTTACTATTCCACCTCTTTTCTCTCCACTCTCCTTCTTCCCTTCTCTCTCTTTCATCCCTTTTCTTTCTATTATGCCGTCTCACTTCTAACCCTCCACTCTTATGTGTTCCTCCCCTTTTTTTCTCCAACTCCCTTTCATCTCTCCTCTCTCTTCTGTACCTCGACTCCCATTTCTCCCTCTGTTCTCTTTTCTCGCTCCACTCTTTTTATCCCCTTTTCTTTTTTTCTCACTCCACCCTCTTTTCTCTCTCAACTCTCTTCTTTCTCTCCAATTTTCCCCTTGTTTTTTAACTTCATTCGCTTTTCTCTCTTGATTCTCTTTTTCTCTCTTGACTCTGTTTTTCTCTCTTGACTGTCTTTCCTTCTTCCAAGAAGCTCCAAAAACGGGTAACATTTTTTAATGTGGAATAAAATCGATACAAGTTTTTGGCAGATTCAATAATGATTCCTTCTTTTATCTCTCCCCTCTCTTTCTGCCCTTCAGAGTGCTCCCTCCCTCCTCTATCTATTATTTCCCTTTTCTCTTTTATTCCATTTTTCTCTTCTATCCCTTTACACTCTTTTCTCCCCTCACTTTTTTTCTGTGTGTATATTTTTTCTCTTCTCCTCTATTCTCCCTTCTCTCACTCTCTCTTCTGTCTCTCTTCTCTTTCTCTAATTCTGTCCTCTCTATCTTTTTTTTCTGTAATCTCTCTCTTCTCTCTCTTCTTTTTTGGGGATTCAATAAAGGTTCTGTGTTACATATGAAGAATTATTTATTCCTCCTCTTTTCTTTATTTTCCACTTCTTTTCACTCTCTACTCTCCTTCTTCCCTCCTCTCTCTTTCATCCCTCTTCTTTCTATTATGCCGTTTCACTTCTATCCCTCCACTCTTATGTCTTCCTCCCCTTTTTTTCTCCTCCAACTCATCTCTTCTCTCTCTTTGTGCCTCCATTCCCATTTCTCCCTCGGTTCTCTTTTTCCGATCCACTATTTTTATTCCTTTTTCATTTTTTCTCACTCCACTCTCTTTTTTCCCTCACTTTCTTCTCTCTCTCGACTCACTTGTCTCCCTCCATCCTCTTTTCTCCCTCAACTCTCTTTTTTCTCTCCAATTTTCCCCTTGTTTTTTAAATTCATTCGCTTTTCTCTCTTGACTCTCTTTTTCTCTCTCAACTCTATTTTCTTCTTCTAAGGAGCTCCAAAAATGGGTAACATTTTTTAATGTGGAATAAAATGGATACAAGTTTTTTGCAGATTCAATAATGATTCCTCCTTCTTTTATCTATCCTCTCTCTTTCCTCCTTCCACAGTGCTCCCCCCTTACTCTTTTATTCCACTTTTCTCTTTTATCCATTTCCTCTCTTTTCTCCCCTCATTTTTTTTTCTATGTGTCTATTCTTTCTCAACTCCTCCTCTATTCTTTCTCTTCTCTCTCTCTCTCTCTCTCTCTACTCTCTCTTCTCTTTCTCTATTCTCTCTCTTTTTTTCTGGGGGATTTAATAATGGTTCTGTGTTACAGTTGAAGAATTATTTATCCTTCCGTTGTCTTTTGTTCTTCCTCTCTTTCATTCCTCCTTTGTCTTTTATCCCTCTTCTCGTTTATCCTGCACCTCTTTCTCCTCTTCTCTTTTTTCTCTACGTACTCTTTTTTCTCACTCCGCTCTTCTCTCCTCCTATTCTCTTTTCTTTGTCGTCTCCCTTTATATTCTGTCTGTTTTCTCCCTTCTCTCTCTGTGTGTATTCTCTCTTTTCTTCCTTCTTTCTCTATTCTCCCTCCTCCCTGTTTTCTTTCCTCATTCTCTTTTCTCCTACCACACTCTTTCCCTCCATTCCCTTTTCTCCATCCACTCATGTTTGCCCTTCCTGTTTCTTTTCTCATTTCATTGTCTTTTCCCTCTCCAATCACTTTGTTTTCTCTATTTTCTTTTCTCCCTCACTCTCTTGTCTTCCTTCTCTCTCTTTTTCTCTTTTAAGAAGCTCCAAAACCATAGAACTCTCTCTCTCTCTCTCTCTCTCTCTCTCTCTCTCTCTCTCTCTCTCTCTCTCTTCTCTCTATCTATTATCTATATTCACCCTCTCTATGTTATGTTCCCTTTTTCTCACTCTTAAATGCAATAAGAAATGGTGATTTTTTTGATACTCCAGAAAGCTCCAAGAAAGATTTTTTCGGACCCTTTAAAAAATACCAGGAGTCTCCAAAATTCTTGCAAACCCTTTAAAAATCAAAACACCAGGACCCTTCAAGATTCATTCAATACATTTTCAAAAACAAAATGCCTGGTGGCCTTCATGAATCTTTCATACAAAAAAAAAACAGGGACCCCCAAAATTCAGTGAAATATTTCCAAAAACAACACCGAGAAAATTTCAAATTAAAAAAAATGTCGGGGGCTACCAAGAGTCTTTCGAATCCTTTCAAAAATAAAACATCGGAATCCCAAGATTCTTTCAAATCTTCTCACAAACAAAATAAAATTTCTAGGACGAAACTCATTTTTTAACAAACGTGGATACAATAAAATTTTTACGTTGACGTCATTAATTTTCTACAATGAATGAGTAACTAAGTTTTAGACTCTGGGACATACTGCAAACTTTGTCTTTTCAGACTTTATTTTTTTTACAATAATTCGCATATTTAACATTAAAAAACAAGGATACATCATTAAATAGCAGATAAATTTTAGTCAAGATTGAAATAAATCAGTTTTGTGGTAACGTCATCAAGTTATTGGATGGTTTCATTTTGTGCAAAAAATCTGCTTAATCGACTTCATATTTATATTTTATGCACATTTTACGTGGAATTTAATTGGCAAAATTTTGAGACGACATCAGAAAATTTTTGGTGGGGAAAAAAACGTCAAAGCAATCTGTTAAGGTCGAAACAGGAGAAACGTTGTGGGGGCTGTCAAGTCCCACAAAATTGTATAGCATTTGTATATTTGTATATAATCTGTATTTAATTACCTCCCAGTAACACCCCGAAACTTTCTCTTCGTTCACCTGCATGTCGTAAAACTTATCTTTTGTTCACCCTTCTCAGTAATACTTATCCTTTCCAAGATTACGAATACCTTCCAAGAACTCTTTGGACACAACTGTTTCAACCGCTTTCTACCGACCTTTCTTTTCATTTCAATTTCACAAACTCTAGGAGTCTTCCTTCAACCGCTGTACCGACAACATCAAAATAGATACGCCAAAACGCAAGAACTGTGTCAAATCATCTGATCGATCACCCCACAACATCATAAAATTGTAGACACAAAAAAAAAATAATCTCCTACTCCCTATTTATTAGAAGGTACAACTTCAACTTTTATATCGTGTAATTAAAAAGTGATCAGCGGTCTAATTCTAAAAACTGCAAAAAATATACAACCTATCTCATCGCAACAAAACCCATCCCTCACAAAGACCCCACTTTGTCTAACACGTAACATCTCTTTGTTCCAGCATGGCTTTACGACAACTATTGTTCCTCGTCTGTCTATTCGGCCCTTTGTACGCCATGTGCCCCTCGCAATGCACTTGTTACCTCGACGACAAGGGCCGCAACGCCGTCTCCTGCATAGACGGCGGCATCGTCGGCCCCCTCGACCTTTTTAACATGAGCCTTGACACGGAAGTGCTCAAAATCACGGCTCCGGAAGACGACATGAACCAGCTCACCATGAGTCCGGTTTTCCACAAGTACAAGAAGCTGGAGGAGATCCGGATCACCCGCTCCAACATCCCCCAGCTCGGGAAGCACTTCTTCTGGGGATTAAACAAGTCAGTCCTTGTCGTATTCCTGTCCCATTTCAAACTAATTTTCTAAATCACCATCAGGCTGGACGTGCTGGACCTCTCCCAGAACAACATCACGCAGCCCCTGGACCACAACTTCGTGGGGTTGTTTAAGCTGAAAGACCTGTATCTGGACGACAACAGGATCTATTCCCTGCCGAGCGGCACGTTCAGGTACCTGCAGGAGCTCAAGCTGCTTTCGATTCAGAGGAACAGGATTAGCGAGCTCATGCCGAGAATTTTCCTGGAGATTGGCAAGCTGAAGGTGTTGAAATTGAGCGGAAACAACTTGAAGGAGCTGAATCCGGTCGTATTCGAAGACGTGAAGGTAATTAAGGGTTTTATTGGATATTTGGCATGCAGGGGTGGCTCGGATTTGCGACGTTTTAAAGAGGCGATTGCGATGGAGTTTATGGGGTGTGAGTTAATTATTCATTTTTTGAACGCTTGGAACGAGTTTGTAAATAAATGAAAATTTTACGTTCGTTTTAAAGTCGGCGGAATTTTTAGGGGTGCATTTGTGACTTATTGATGGAGTTTGATGGGGAATTAGTTGGGAATTCGATTGGGGTCGACGCCATTTTGTTTTTTCTATTATTTAGTTCATTTATGGTTATTGGGAATTATTCAGTGTCGATGAAATAAAAAATTAAATACTTAATACAGCGTTAAATCTACTAAAAAATATCTGGAGATTTTATTTGAAAATGGTTAAAAATATCAAAGACAATAAATATAGAAGGCATCAAGTGGCAAAAATATTAAATCAAGAATATCAATTGTGAAAAATATTAAATTGCCATATCAATTTCCAAACTGTAAACAAGTCAGAAAAGTCAAAAATATAAAACAATATTCTTTCACATTCTTCAAAAAACCAGAGGCCCTCAAGATTTGTTCAAATTTTTTCAATAGCAAAATACCAGAGGCTAAAACCAAATAAAATAAAAAAAAAATTTTTGCTCTTGAAAATTTTGTCAAAAAAATTCCAAAAAAATCAAGGACGTAGGTTTTTGACTGGCTGATTTCAAAAATATTGCGAGCCAATTGTCCCGGAACAAGATTTTAGAAATATTTGCTCTGAAATAAAAATTTCTTAAAAATTCAGAAAATTGCCATATTCTTATAGGCGATTATGGAAAAATGGAGTTATCGAAGAAATGAGGCCGAAATTAACTTCTGTAAGCTAAATCTGTGAGAAAATTTCTGTGGTTATGTTTCGAAAATTATCGAAAATCGGTCGAAATTTTCTTTGAAAAATTTTGATTTCATAAAAATTGTCAAAAAATCTCCAAAAAATCAGGAACACAGATTTTGAGCGGCTGATTTCAAAAATATTGCGAGTGAATGGTCCAAGATTTTAGAAATATTCGATTTGAAATCAAGAAGTCTTTGCTTAAACACTAAAAACCCCTGAAATGTTGTCAATAAAATCCAAAATTTTTAAATGTTTGGAAAATGTCAAAATGTCGAAAACCTCATAAATGTCAATGTATTATCGCATTATTGAAATTAGTATTTTTGTATAAATAATCTAGTTTATCGATTTTTTTTAATGTGGAATAAAAACTGAGGTTTCTATAAAAACAAACATTGATTACGTTATCAATCAACAATTTTCTCTTTTCAAATTGTTTCTGGAGTGTGGTTAGTGTAAAAAATAAATGTAATGTTTGAATCTGAAATATGTGAAATTGTCAAAATTTCAGTGCAACGTCTTAAAATAAAAAAAAAATGTGCTAAAAATTCCAAAAATGTCAAGAACTTGAAAAAAATAGAAAACGTCAGGGTTGAAGGAAACGTGTTTAAAAAATTCGGAATGTTTAAAATAATATGTTTATTTATAAATATAAAAGTGTCAGAAGATCAAAGATATCAAGCGTGTGATAGTTTTGATCACAAAATTTTAAAAACTGCCAATATATCAAGAAGCTTGAACATTTCAAATATTAATAATCACAAGACAATCATCAAGAATACATGAAAAATTAATTCAACGAAAGGTTCGACTTTCAAAAATTTCAAAATCTCAAGACAACACCTAAAATTTCAAAAAAATTTCAAGTTCAACAAAATTCTCAAAACGTCAGCGTTTAAGGATGACGAAAGCACTAAAAACATTATTCAAATTGAAATATTCAAATTTTGAACATTTGAGGACCCTGAGAAAATGTCAAAATGTCAAAAACGTTAAAAATATGCACAAACAGATCAAACATCTGTTATTTGTTTCCGAAATTTTGTCATTTATTTAAATTGTTAAAATTACTAAAAACTTTAATGACTACATCATAAAAAATGTTTAAAATTTGAAAAATGTAAAATGTACAAATACATACAATGCAGACAGCTCCAGATTGTCAAAAATATTGAGCAGTTCAAATCTTTTAAAAATATTAACGGCAAAATCAAAAACCAAAAGGTGAAATTTGTCAAAGCATGTCTAAAAAGTCAAAATGACGAACTGTTTGAATCTCAAAAATGTCAAATAGTTAAAATCCCAAGACCACAAATTAAGATTTAAGAAACAAAGTCTCAAAATGTCAACAGTACCAAAGACCTTGAAATTTTGAAAATTGTCAATAACAGTCGAATATTCCAGATATTTCAAAAATTTATGAAAAATCAAATATGTCCTGTGGTTATCTATAATAGTCAAAATGACGAATCATTCCAACCTCAGAATTGTCAAATTGCCAAAATTTCAAGCAACACTTTAAAATAAAAAAAATCAAGTATGATAGAATTGTCAATAATGTACTAAAAATTCCAATAGTGTCAAGAACTTAAATAAATAGAAAACGTCAGGGTTGAGGGATTTTGAAAATTGACGCTTGTGGTGTTTTAGTGGTTTATTGATGTGTATAAAAAATATAATACAATTCAATGTATGGGTGTGGGTTCTCGAAGTGGCGGCACCTCGCCGGTTTCTGGGACGCGGAGCGTCGTAGGTCTTCGAGCGGTCGGTGTCTTCTTCACGGGAGTCCGGGGAGGCGAGTCTCTCGCCGGGGGCGTCGTCGAGGGTGAATTGCGTCCGTCTTCGGCAATAGTTACGTAAGCCCTGCCAAGCGTAACTATACGGAGCGAAGGCCTAGATTGCGTAAGCCCAGCCAAGGAAGGGCGTGGGGTTAGCTCTGCCAAGCGCCACTAGAGATCGAGAGGTTGTGTTAGCCCAGCGAAGCGCAACGCTCTCTCTGAAGAGGGTGTAGTGGTGTTAGCCCTGCCAAGCGCCACTATAGTTGAGAGGTTGTGTTAGCCCAGCCAAGCGCAACGCTCTCTCTGAAGAGGGTGTAGTGGTGTTAGCCTTGCCAAGCGCCACTATAATTAGAGGTTGTGTTAGCCCAGCCAAGCGCAACGCTCTCTCTGAAGAGGGTGTAGTGGTGTTAGCCCTGCCAAGCGCCACTATAATTAGAGGTTGTGTTAGCCCAGCCAAGCGCAACGCTCTGTCTGAAGAGGGTGTAGTGGTGTTAGCCCTGCCAAGCGCCACTAGAATTAGAGGTTGTGTTAGCCCAGCCAAGCGCAACGCTCTCAAGTCTGTTGGGACAGGGTGGTTCTTTTATAGGGGTTGCCCCCTCTGCAAAAGATCGGAGTAGGGATGGCGTCCAATGGGCAGCGAGGGTGGGTCGTTTGGGGGTGATACGGCGCTGTGTCGGTAGCGCCCTCGAAAGGGTACTAGCGGAGCGTTCCGGTACTAAAGCGTGTCCGCTACACGCTTAAGTATTTTATATATATATGTAAAACATCAAATATAAATGCAAATACCTTGAAATTTTGAAAATATAGTCAGGATCACGAAGCAATGCGTACACGTCACGGACTCTGTATGACGTCATGCGTCTACCACGTTTATCATACAAATGAATCGGTTTGAAAACTGTCAACAAACATGTCGGCTTGTTATTGTTTTGGTTTGTTCTATTTATGATTATAGCATGAGAAGACCGTTAGTGTGAAGCAACAGTTTAGAAATAAGCTACACTTGCAGTGTTTCAGCATACAAGGGCATGCTGCAGGCTGCATAGACGCTATGAATTACAAACTCAGGCACAGGAAAGATCACGACTGTAACCCCTTTCACGTGTTCCTAGTCACTGAAGCCTGCCACTCACGTTCCAACGCCGCGGTACAATTGTGTAGGATATGACAAAATTGAAGTGTTTTCGAACATCTGTGTATGCGATCAAGCAAATCGGTTGGATGTGGACGGTTGGTGAACAAGTCTGTCTGCAGCAGTACAATCGTGTTGTATTGGTTGGAAACTTAATCGTGTGGGGACAGTGTATGTTATACAAACCGTGAAAGCAGGTATAAAAGTCCATTTTCTTCGGACATGTTGCCACCACGATCGCAAATTTTTAACTGCAAGGTCGTAACGTGTATGTACTGCTGCTTTTCAGCAGAATTGTACCGCAGTTGTATCCAATACAATCGTACCCCGGCGTTGGAACGTGAATGACTGGCTTTAAGAACGTTCATTTTTGCATTGACTGCTGGTAAAAACTGCTGACAATTGGGTGTTAAACACATACTTGGAGGGTGGTACAAGGCTTCATACTGTACTTAAAGCTACCAACGAGAATGTTAACATACGTCTCAAACAGACAGCATTGAACAGTTGTGACAGGCTTCAAGTTAGAGAAATATGCTTACCGTCTTCAATGCCACAATAGGCACGTCACATCTACAGAATAAGTTACTTTATTGACATGGAATAGATACAAAAGTAAAGTATAAACAATAATAAGTATGCATGTTGCACAACGTCGTCGTCTGACCAGTGATTTGTATATTTGGCCAGTGAAGTGATAGTGTGATTATAAAAGACATCAGCAGAACATGCCGCTAGTACAATCAATTAGGGTGGTAATGGAAAATAACCTACATGTTACAGTGGCTGAATTCCCTCTGCAGTATTAGAATCTTCACTGTCATAATCACTAAAACTATAATGTGAATCTTCGTTAATGTCGATTATAAACGGCGCAATCTCTTCACGGTCAAATACTAATTCCCGTTCCCACCACTCCCGTATTATTTTATTCATATGGTCAACAGTATTTTTCCACATTGTGGGCGTGACATGTGCTAACGCTTCTTTCCACATTTCCACGGAATTTTTTGACCATAACCATCACGCCCAATGTGTTTGGAATAAAAATTTGTAGTAATTCCCCAAATATTTTCTATAGGGTTAAACACACAATGATATGGCGGCAATCGCAATACTCTATGGCCATTCTGTTGGCCCAATTCACGGCAACATACGTTTTTGGAGGTTTATTTCTGAAAAACATGATATTTTAAATGAAACGATAGAGAATAGTATATGCATTACTGTGCAACCAAATGAAGAAGTTCCGTTTTTAACAGCTGTGAATCTGAACTTATGTCATGTTGTTAAAGCCATTCACGAATTTCTGCTTTTTTCCATGAACCACTGGGACATTTGTTTGCAAAGGTACTGTGGTAGCTTGCATTGTCTATAATAATCTGTGATGGTTCTTCAAGGTTCATGAGCAATTGAAACCACTTGAGAAAATTCTGTTGATTCATTTCGCCATGATAGTCTGGATTTTTGGTATTAGAAGAAAATACTAGCGCTGCTTCATCAATAAATCCATTGCTTGTACCTGCATGTAATACAATATACCTAAAATATAGTGAGAAGAATAAATAACTAACGTGAAACTGACACATTACTAAATTTTCCCTTCTATTTTGAACATCCTGATACTTATGACACTATCGTCTTGCAATGACCTAACTACCGAACCATTTTCAAATATCCATGTTTCATCAAGATATACACATGGCAAAGAATTTGGGTTCTGCTGATTGTGCATGTATTCACGTAAGAATTTGGTTCTTGCATGAACAACATGTTGTAATTCCATAAGACGCTTCCGTACACTGGTTGGCGAATAACGAAACCCAATTGAGAATGTAAAATTTTTCTTAACGAGCTCACAGAACCCTCAAATATATGTTTCTCCTTCAAGCAATCAATTAATGGCGATCGTGTAACATGTATTTCTGTAAAATAGTCGTTAGTATCTATAAGGCGTGCGCATCAAATTCATACTTTCTTCGACCATTCCATATAAGCATTCTCGAATAGCACACTGCTCCGAAGTGCTAATATCACACACTTGCTTTGTTCGGGGGTCTCTATTTCTTGGGAAAATGTACACCTTCTCCGGTTTTTATTTGTTGTACCACGGAGTTCACTGTTCGCACACATACACCCAGAGCAGCAGCAACCCTCTGTACAATGTGACTGCATTAGTAATTGTAATAAAATACACCTACTTACGTCTTGAACAGCTGTTAGTGGTAAAAGAGGTTCCCCGCTATCGCGTTCTTTAGCAAAATAGTCCACTAAATTATCGTCCATTTGCTTTACATCTTTGTGCAAGGGCTTCGGCATGGTGGAATGTTTACGTTCAAGCAAGCGACACGTACCACGGTACAGGACAGTTAACTTGGAGTTCTATAAAGAACTGTTATAGTTCTGAAAAGAACTGATACGATTACACGAGCAGAAAAGTAGAAAAACGCGAAAAATCAAACAATAACACAACATAACCAAAGTTGACACCAATGACACTTGTGAAATCGATAAAACTTTAGCATATGTTTCGCTATCAGTCGTACCAATATAATTTCCCCCAAATTGATCGATTTTGATCCGTATTGCCACGTATTGCGGCGCGTATTTTTGATTTAGTGTTGGTAACGGATCTACGTCATCCATGACGTGTACGCATTGCTTCGTGATCCTGAGTATAGTCAATAACAGTCAAATGTTCCAAAATTTCAAAAAATTTTGAAAAATTTAAATATGTCCTTTATATATAAAAGTTAAAATGACGAATCATTCGAATATCAGAGTTGTCAAATTGTCAAAATTGTAAGCAGTATCATAAAATAAAAAAAAAGTACGATAGAATTGTCAAATGTACTAAAAATCCCAATAGTGTCAACAATTTGAAAGAATAGAAAACGTTAGGGTTGAGGGATGACGAAAACACTAAAAAAATGACTTAAAAATAAGAAACTTCAATGTTTTGAATAAAATTGTCAGACTGTCAAACATATAAAAAGTGTCAAACATCACGAAATTTTTAAAACTGCCATGAATGCCTTGAAATTTTGAACATTGACACTAATGGTCAAACGGTCCTTCAAGAATGTTTGAAAATTTAAATATATACTTGATATATATAAAACAGTCAAATGTTCCAAATATTTAAAAAAATTGTAAAAATTTAAATGTCCTTTTTATACAAAAGTCAAAATGACGAACCATTCGATTCTCAGAGCGTCAAATTGTCAAAATTTCAAGCAACACTTTAAAATAAAAAATCAAGTACCACAGAATTGTTAAATTGACTAAATATTCCAATAGTGGAAAGAATTTGAAAAAAATAGAAAAAGTAAATAAAGTAAAATTGTCAGAATGTCAAACACATCAAAAGTGTCAAAGATCACTAAATTTTTAAAACTGTCAAGAATGCCTTGATATTTTGATTAACACTAGTGGTCATTCTAAGTACTTCAAGAATGTTTGAAAATTTAATTATGTAGTTTATATTAGAAAAACTAAAATACAAATATCGAAAAGTTCAAATTGATCAAATTTTCGAATTTGAAATATATCAAATTTAAAAAATTTTGCCATAAAAATTAAGCATGTCAAGAATTTGAACCTCAGAAATTGTCAGGATGCCAAAATGGTTAGATTCAGGGATTTTCAAATTGTCACCAAGAAGTACAAAAATGTAAAAGAGTACTTACAGATCAAATATATACGTCAAAAAAGTCAAAACCACGAAATGTTGGAATTTCAAAACTGTCAAATTTTCAGTCTCGAGAATTAAAAAAAAATCAACATGGACAAATATATCAAGTATGTTAAAAATTCTAAGAATGTGAATGTTAAACGTAAAAAATCAAAATGACAAAGTCTAAAAAATTTTGTCAAAATCTTGACACAACACCAAGAAGTCCAAAAAATTCAAGTACGACGGAATTGCCAAAATATCAGGGTTGAGGGATGGCAAAATCACTAAAAACATGATTCAAACGTGAATATTAATCTTAACTTGTTTAAATAAGTACTAATTTTGTAGAAATTACTAAAAATTTTAATATCCACATCGATCATGTAGAAAGTGTTTAAAATTGGAAAAATGTCAAATTTAATATATATACAGTGTATGTACAACGTACTGAGTAATTCAAATTTTTTAAATATTAACGACAACGTCAACGTTGTCAAAAAAGCCAAAATGTGAAGCCTGTCGAAAGAAATTTAGGGCCTGAAAGGAGCTACAAGATTTAAATATGAAGAAAATTTTGAACACATCTTGATTCAAAAATTATAAAAGGAATATAAATGTCTGAAAAATAAAGGGCAAAATGTCACTAGCACTAACACAAAAAACTAGAGTTGAATAAACAAAATAAAGTTATCAGGATAATTAAACATTTCAAACGTGTCAAAGAAAATGAAATTTTTAACACTGTCAAGAATGCTAAAAAGCTCGTATTTTTCAAAAGCCTTAAAATTTTGAAAATTGTCAGTAATGGTTGAATGTTCCGACTATTTCAAGAATCTTAGAAGGTCAGCAAGAATCTCTGAAAATTTAAATTTGTACTTTATACGCAACACATCAAATACAAATCAATAAAAAATGATGAAATGTTATATCAAATTTTCAAAATTTTGCTATAAAAATGGTTAGTTTCATGGATTTTAAAATTGTCATCAAGATGTACAAACATTTAAAAGAGTACTCTATATACAGATCAAATACATGTCAAAAAAGTCAAAACCACTAAATGTTGGAATTTCAAAACTGTCAGATTTCCAGTTTCTCAAGAATAAAAAAAAAAACAACATTAACTATATTAAAAATTCTAAGAATGTGAACGTTAAAGGTGACAAATACATCAAAAATCTCAAAATTTTTATACTGTCAAAATCTCGAGACATCAAGAAGTCAAAAAAAAAATTCAGTTACGACAGAATTGTCAAAACGTCAGGGTCGAGGAATGGCAAAATCACTAAAAACATGAAACAAATGTTGAAAATGTCAAATTGATCAAATGTTCGAATTTCAAAAGTATCAAATTTTCAAAATTGCGCTACAAATAATCAAGAACATCAAGGATTTGAATGTCAAAATGGTTAGACGTGCCAACGATTTCAAGGATTTTAGAACTGTAATCTTCTGAAAAGTCAAAAGCACCAAATGTTCGAATTTCAAAATTGAATTAAAAAAACTTAAAATAATGTCAAAAACCAACAAACGAACACCAAAAACGTCAAAAATTCAGAATTCTAAAAATGCTAAAAGTATCACAGTCCATAAAGGCTAAACCTGTCGTGGATAGTTTTTTCGATAATTTTTTATTATTCAAATTTTTTACAAAATATGAGTCATGGAAACGATTTTTTTATATGACGCAAATGCGTTAAATGGTGGAAAATGTGATAAATGTTCGGTTCGAGACGACATTTACTTTCTTACTTGACGCTTCATTTTCCCCCTTGTGTGTGTAAAACAGATTAGAAATTTAGTATAAAGGTCTTCACCACCAATAACCGTACCTATGCTGAAAATTCTTGTCTCCTCCGACTTAACTTCCCTTTTCTTAAGAATTTAAGTAACAGCAAAATGGCGTCCCTAAATCTCGGAACTCGGCAGCCACTTCCCAAACTTTCCCTTACCCCCAACCCCCCACGATTTAAAGCGTGCAAACATTTTCATAAGCCACCCCGCAACTGATTACCCTTCCCTCACCTCCGAAACTGTTTCAGGAGCTGAAAACTCTGGAATGCCGTTCCTGCGGGCTAACCCGCATCGACAAGCACATGTACGAGCTGCTCTCCCACCTGACCTCCCTGGACCTAGGGGACAACTTCCTCACCGCCATCAGCTCCGACGAGTTCTCCCCCCTGCTCAACCTGCGCCAGCTCAAGCTCGACGGCAACGCCGTCTCCGCCATCAAAAGCTCAACATTTTCCAATCAACAGGAACTGAAAAGACTGAACCTCGCACGCAACCGCATCACGAAGATCTCGCGGCACGCGTTCGCCAATTTACATAATCTCACCGAATTGGACTTGAGTCACAATAAGTTCGAAGATCCCGAAAACGGGCTGCTGGAACCTGTTGCTGGCACTTTGGAGGTCTTGTTTCTGAATGGGAATCACTTGAGCGTTCGCACCTTGAAAAGATTGCTAAATAACGTGGAGATAAGGGAGCTGCGGCTGGCGGAGTGCGGGCTGGTGGAGGTGGGGGAGGCGGTTTTTCCCGGCACGCTCGAAGTGCTGGATCTGGCCAACAATTACATTTCCGAGATGACGAGCGAAGTTCTGCCGGAAAGCTTGAAGGAACTGGATATAAGCGGAAACAGATTTCTGGGGCTGGGGAACGACGTGATGGCGAAGCTGGATTCGGTCAGGGGGCTGCGGATGGAGAGGAACCCGTGGGCCTGCGATCTGTGCCACATCGTGCCGCTGCTGGAGAGGGCCAACAGGAGCGCCGGGATCAGGGGGCTGCAGTGCGCCCAGCCGTATTCGCTTAAAGGTGGGTGAAAGGGCCGTTAAACGTACTCTTATGAAACTTGTAAGCTCTTTACGCGCCGCTCTTCGCACGTTATCCCGCAGTAAAGAACGGTTTGGGACCGGTTCACGTCACCACGTTATTTACGACTGTGGGTTTTGTTAAATATTGCAACCGCTAACGGTTTCGGAATTTTGGATGAATTTTGTAAGCATCGTACAACCTTCGCATTTAGAATTTTTCGAAATTTATTAAATAAAATAGTAATAATAATAATAATAATGAATATTTTTGGACAAGTTTCAAAATATTATATGAATAGCCAACACCTCAAAATTTTGAAAACTGATCTCAAAGATTTGAAAATTCCGAACATTGTCAAGAATTTAATAAAATGGTCGAAGGTTATTTCGACAGAAATTTCATCGTACCTGGAATAAAATAAAACATCTAGCTTTTCCGAAAATTGTTCCAAGCTCAACAAATTTTGCATATTTTTCATAAGATTTATTCGTCAAAATTTTCAGATGGCGTCATCAATTTTTCCGGGGGATGAATAAAACTCTTTTGAATAAAAATTTACCATGCTTACGATAACTTTGGAACGTTTGCAAGATTTCAAAGCATTCAGTTTTGCAGATTCTAAATTAAATTACGAAATTTTGTTACACAATTTTAATTTTTTGGGCAAAAATCTGGAAGCCCCAGGTAAAACTGAACACGGATTAATAAATCACAAGTGAACGAGTAGATTATTTTATAAAATTCACTACTGTGAATTTTGTAAATGACATTATTCTTTATTTTGGTCAGTGTTGTGTCATCCTTAATGTACATATATAGACATGTAGACAGATAGACAGACAGACACGATAGACAGACGACAGACAGACGACTGACTGATGGAAATGTGAGACCCATTTTTTCGTAATCTAGGAGTCATGAAACGTCCAGAAAACATGAAAGTGGTCAGGATAAGACTGAACAATATTCAAAGTAGTCACTGGAATGAACAGGGGGTAGAGGGGGTAGGTGGGAGGGGGGCTACTGCTTTCTTAGCTTGCATATAAGACTATTTAGAAATCTGACTATTTTCTTTATTTACTGTAAAATGGGAATTAAATTCTATTTTGACAAGAGATAGAATTCAAGGTTTAAAACAAAATAAAAAGTGGCCCACCCACCCCTGTTCGGTTTTGATAATTCATTGTTATTGGCTTTGAAGAATGGAAATTGGATTTTATATTGACGAATAATATAATGTAGGATTACATTTTTTAATATAATTTAATTTTTACTAAATTATTTCAACAATTTTTCGATTTCGCAATTTTTCATTTCTTCGATTTTCCGATTTGCAGTTTTTGAGTTTTTCATTTTTTGTTAGTACTTGCTAAGATAAGACTGATTTTAACAAATAACAAACTCTGTAAGGAAGTAGAGGGCGGGTGGGCGGGCCTAGTTTTTTGCAGTGTTTCAGTTTTTCATTTTTTTTTTTGCTAAGATGAGACTAATTTTGGCAAATGATATATGTACTCCCTAAGAAAACAGAGGGCGGGTGGGGGGGCTAGTACTTGCTAAGATAAGAATGAACAATATTAAGAGTAGTCATTTTTTTAATACAATTTAATTTTTGCCAAATCCTTTCAATTTCTAGATTTTGCAAATTTTCGATCAGCAGTTTCATGAGTTTTCAATTGTTAATTTTTCAATATTTCATTTCTTCTATTTTTCCATTTTCAATTTTTCAGTTTTCATTTTTTATTAATATTTTTAAGATTGGACTGATTTTGGCAAATCACATACCCTTTAAAAAAATAGAGGGCGGGTGGGCGGGCCTAGTATTTGCCAAGAAAAGACTAATTTTAGTAAATGACATACCCTTTAAGAAAATAGAGGTAGGGTGGGCGGGCCTAGTATTTGCTAAGAAAAGACTAATTTTGGTAAATGAAATACTCTTTAAGAAAATAGAGGGCGAGTGGGCGGGGCTAGTATTTGCTGAGATAAGACTATTTTTGACAAATGACATACTCTAAGAAACTAGAGGGCAGGTGGGCGGAGCTAGTATTTGCTAAATAAGACTCAACAATATTAAGAGTAGTCATTGAAGCGAAGAGGGGGTAGGTGGACGGGGCTACTGCTTGTTTATAAGACTCTTTAGAAAAAATCTAAAGTCAGTTCCGCCCACAGCTTTTCTCTGTTTCACTGACTTATTTTAACAAGTTCTAGAATCCAAGATTTAAAACAAAATAAAATGTGGCCCGCCCACCCACCCCTATTCCGTTTTCGTAATTCATTCTTATTGGCTCTGAAGAAGGGAAGTTGGATTTTTATATTGATAAATAAATAATAACAGAATCTAGGATTCCATTTTTAATACAATTTCATTTTTACCAAATTTTTTCAATTTTTAGATTTTGCAAATTTTCGATCAGCAGTTTTACGAGTTCTCAATTTTTAATTTTTCGATTTTTCATTTCTTTCTTTTTGAATTTACAATTTTTCAGTTTTTTCATTTTTTGTTAATATTTGCTAAAATTAGACTGATTTTGGAAAATCTCATACCTTTTAAAAAATAGAGGGCGGGTGGGCGGGCCCAGTATTTGCTAAGATAAGATTAAACAATATTAAGATCCGATTTATAGAAAGCGAAGTTAAAGTTAATTCGCGATTAACTTTTAACTGAGGTCCGTTGCGAGGCAACGCGCATATTTTAACCAATCACGGGCTCATATTCCACATTTTAATTCTCTGTTAAACTAATCGAGGATTAAATATTTAACTCGCTGTTCTATAAACCGGCCCTAAGAGTAGTCATTGAAATGAAGAGGGGGTAGGTGGGCGGGGCTACTGCTTGCTTACAAGACTCTTTAGAAAAAGGCTAAACCTAGCCCCGCCTACATTTTTTCTCTTTTTTACTGACCTAGTTTGACATGTTGTAGAAACAAAGATTTAAAACAAACCAAAAAATGACCCCGCCCACCCACCCCTATTCCATCTTGTTCATCATTTCTTATTGGCTCTGAAGAACGGAATTTATATTGATAAATAAATAGAATCTAGGGTTACAATTTTTAAAATAATTTAATTTTTACTAAATTGTTTCAATTTTTAATTTTTCATTTCTTCCATTTATCGATTTGCAATTTTTCACTTTTTCACTTTTTGTTTGTACTTGCTAAAATAAGACTGATTTTGGCAAATCACATTCCCTCTAAAAAAAAGAGGGCGGGTGGGCGGGCCTAGTATTTGCTAAGATAAGACTAATTTTGGTAAATGACATATTCTTTAAGAAAATAGAGGGCGGGTCGGCGGGTCTAGTATTTGCTAAGATAAGACTAATTATGGTCAATGACATAAAATTTTAAGAAAATAGAGGGCGGGTGGGCAGGCCTAATTTTCTGCAGTTTTTCATTTTTTCATAGTATGTACTTACTAAGATAAGACTGATTTTAGCAAATGACATACTCTCTAACAAAACAGAGGGCGGGTGGGCGGGGCTAGTACTTGCTAAGATAAGACTGAACAATATTAAGAGTAGTCCTTGAAGCGAAGAGGGGGTAGGTGGGCGGGGCTTATAAGATTCTTTAGGAAAAAGCTAAACTCAGGCCCGCCCACTTCTTTTCTCTATTTAACTGACTTATTTTGACTAGTTGTAGAATCTAAGATTTAAAACAAAGTAAAAGTGACCCCACCCACCCACCCCTATTCCGTTTTGGTAATTCATTGTTATTGGCTCTGAAGAATGGAAGTTGGATTTTACATTGATTAATAGATAATAGATTCTAGGATTACATTTTTTAATACAATTTAATTTTTACAAAATCCTTTTAATTTTTAGATTTTGTAAATTTTCGATCAGCGGTTTCACGAGTTCTCAATTTTTTATTTTTCAATTTTTCATTTCTTCCATTTTTGGATTTATAATTTTTCAGTTTTTCATTTTTTGTTAATACATATTTGCTAAGATTAGACTGATTTTGGCAAATCACATACCTTTGAAAAAATATAGGGCGGGTGGGCGGGCCTAGTATTTGCTAAGATAAGTCTGATTTTGGCAAATCACATACCTTCTAAAAGAAAATAGAGGGCGGGTGGGCGGGGCTAGTACCTGCTAAGATGAGACTGAACAATATTAAGAGTAGTCACTGAAATGAAGAGGGGGTAGATGGGCGGAGCGACTACTTGCTTATTAGGCTCTTTCGAAAAAAGCTAAACTCAGCCCCGTCCACCTGTTTTCTCTATTTCACTGACTTATTTTGACCAGTTGTAGAATCCAAGATTTAAAACAATGTAAAATGTGGCCCTGCCCACCCACCCCTATACCGTTTTCATAATTCTTTCTTATTGGCTTTGAAGAAAGGAAGTTGGATTTTTATATCGATAAATAAATAATAGAATTTAGGATTCCATTTTACAATATAATTTTTACCAATTTTTTTCAATTTTTAGATTTTGCAAATTTTCGATCAGCAGTTTCACGAGTTCTCAATTTTTAATTTTTAGATTTTTCATTTCTCCCATTTTTGGATGTACAATTTTTCAGTTTTTCATTTTTCGTTAATACATATTTGCTAAGATTAGACTGATTTTGGCAAATCACATACCTTTGAAAAAATATAGGGCGGGTGGGCGGGGCTAGTACTTGCTAAGATGAGACTGAACAATATTAAGAGTAGTCACTGAAATGAAGAGGGGGTAGATGGGCGGAGCGACTACTTGCTTATAAGGCTCTTTCTAAAAAAGCTAAACTCAGCCCCGCCCACCTGTTTTCTCTATTTCACTGACTTATTTTGACAAGTTGTAGAATCCAAGATTTAAAACATCGTAAAATGTGGCTCTGCCCACCCACCCCTATACCGTTTTCATAATTCATTCTTATTGGCTCTGAAGAACTTAAGTTGGATTTTTATATCGATAAATAAATAATAGAATCTAGGATTCCATTTTTTAATACAATTTAATTTTTACCAAATTTTTTCAATTTTGCAAATTTTCGATCAGCAGTTTCACGACTTCTCTATTTTTAATTTTTCGATTTTTCATTTGTTCCATTTTTGAATTTACAATTTTTTAGTTTTTCATTTTTTGTTAATATTTGCTAAGATTAGACTGATTTTGGCAAATCACATACCCTTGAAAAAATATAGGGCGGGTGGGCGGGCCTAGTATTTGCCAAGATAAGACTGACTGGTGAAAAACATACCTTTTAAGAAAATAGCGGCCGGGTGGGCGGGGCTAGTATTTGCTAAGACAATACTGAACAATATTAAGAGTAGTGACTGGAATGAAGAGGGGTAAGTAGGCGGGGCTAGTGGTTGCTTTTAAGACTCTTTAGACAAAAGCTAAACCAGCCCCGCCCTCCTCTTTTCTGTATTTCACTGACTTATTTTGACATGTAGAATCTAAGATTTAAAACAAAGTAAAATGTGGCCCCGCCCACCCACCCCTATTCCGTTTTCGTAATTCATTCCTATTGGCTTTGAAGAACGGAAGTTGGATTTTGTAATGATAAATAAGTAATAGAATCTAGGATTACATTTTTTAAATATAATTTAATTTTTACTAAATTGTATCAATTTTTAGATTTTGCTGTTTTTCGATCAACATTTTCAAGAGTTTTGAATTTTTAAATTTTCATTTCTTCCATTTTTCGATTTGGAATTTTTCAGTTTTTCACTTTTTGTTTGTATTTGCTAAGATAAGACTGATTTTGGCAAATCACATACGCTCTAAAAAAAGGGGGGCGGGTGGGCGGGCCTAGTATTTGCTAAGATAAGACTAATTTTGGTAAATGACATACCCTTTAAAAAATAGAGGGCGGGTGGGCGGGGCTAGTACTTGCTATGGTAAGACTGAACAATATTAAGAGTAATTAGTCATTGAAATGAAGAGGGGGTAGGTGGGCGCGGCTACTGCCTGCTGATAAGATTCCTTAGAAAAAATCTAAACTCAGCCCTGTCCAACCCTTTTCTCCATTTCACTGACTTATTTTGACAAGTTGTAGAATCTAAAATTAAAAACATTTTTTTTACTAACTTTTTCAATGTTTACATTTTGCAATTTTTCCATTTAGCAATTTCACGAATTTTCATTTTTCGGTTTTTTTTAGTGTGAAATTGTTCGATTTTTGTATTTTCCAAATTTTCGGTTTTCAGTTTTTCGGTTTTTCAATTTTAGATTTTTAAATTTTTCGTTTTTTCAATTTTTGATTTGCAATTTTTCTAGTTTTTCTTGTAAATATGTAACAATAATTATAACTTTAAAAATTGTTCTCTTTTTCAATCAATGCATTTTAAAACTTTTTCATTAATTCGATTTTTCAATTTTCCGGTTATTCATTTTTCATTTTCTCTATATTTAATTTTTCAATTTTTCGATCTTTTAGTGTTATAGTTTTTCGTCTTTGCAATTTTGACGATTCTATAATTTTTCGAGTTTATAGTTTTTGGGTTTTCCAATTTTTCCATTCAATTCGTCTTTTCTTCTTTTCAGTTTTTCGAGTCATTAGCGTTTAAGATTTTTTTAGTTTTCGATTTTTCAACTTTTCGAACAAAAAAAAACAAAAATTGCAAAATAGTAAAATTTTGAAAAATGAATTTAAAAATCAAAGAGTGAAAATTTGTAAAATTGAATAAAGGAAAAATTATAAAATCGAAAGAAACATTGAAAAAATAAAGGAAATGAAAAAACGAAAAATCTTGATACAAAATCGATTAAATGAAAATTAAAAAATGGTGAAATGACAAATAAAAATAAAGAACTTGGAAAGTTGAGGACAAGAAAAATTGAAAAATGAAAAAGTGTAATATCGAAAAGTTTCAGAATTGAAAAATTGCAAATCGAAAAATTGAAGAAACGAATTGATTGAAATTGAAAAAATTAAAGTTGAAAAAATGAAAAATTATGAAACCGAAATATAGAAAAATTAAAGAAAACGAAAAAAACGAAATGCAAAAAATTGTAAAATCGAAAAAAAGTCGCCCGATGGACTCGATTGCCATACTTACGATCAAGCAGTAAAAAAAAGGTGACGAAAAAGAGGCGACAAAAAAAATCACAAAAGGTGGACAAAAAAATAGATTATAAAAATAAAAAAAATAAGTTGGGAAAATGCGAAAAGAAGGCAACTAAAAAAAGCGAAAAAATATGCCATAAACAAAGGTGACAGAAAACATACCAAAGAGCGTAAAAAACAACAAAAAATGCAAAAAGAAGGCACTGAAAAACAGTAAGAAAAAAATAAAGTGACAAAAAAAGACAATAAAAGACTCATTAAAAACGAAGGCTACAAAATATCGACAAAAAAAAGATAAAAATGCGATTAAAACGAGAAAAATGCGAGAAAAAAGAAAAAAAGGTGCTGAAAAAAAAAGGAATGACAAGAAAGGCCACAAAAAGAGCCAACAAAAGCAAAGTTACCAAAAAATATAAAGAAACTAACAACAGTTAAAGCAAATGTGAAAATAAGGTGCCAAAAGACAATAAAAAAAACCCCCATCAAAAACAAAGGCCACAAAATAGCGACAAAAATATAAAGAGAGGCAACAAAAAAATTAAAGAACCTAACAACAGTTAAAGAAAATGTCAAAATAAGGCAAGTAAGAAAAGCGCCAAAAAACGACCCAAAAAAGCGACAAAAAATGATTGTAAAAATTGGTAGAAAGTTATTTCGATAGGACTTCCCACGCCCTTGAAGCACAACCAAACAAATCCCGCTTCTTTGAAAAATAAAAAAAAAAATGAACGTCTATACATTAAAACAAATATAATAATACCAATAACAGTGTAAAAAGTTAAATGATGTCCTATAAATGTATTTTGACACCCTATAATTTTTTTTGTTTGTCTACATTCAATTTTTAATGACACTCTAGATATTTTTACTGTCCAAACATGACCTTTAAAGTACGAAAAAACACATCTCCCATTTCCGTCAGTCTGTCTGTCTGTGTATCATCTGTGTCGATGTTTGTTAGACAAATAATCTCCTAAACTACCGGACCGATTGTTGTCAAATTTTATATGTGTATTATGAATATCAAGCAGGTGGTAAAACGATAACCAAACTTTGAATAACATACTCCTACATGTGTAGTTTATGACCACGTGTTGAGTTTTTACCCCAGATATCCAGATTTTTGAAAAAAAAATCAAAATTTTAGAACAATATTATGCAATTTAATTTTGAATCCACAAAACCGAATGATTTGAAATCTTGCGGACTTTTTAAAGTTATCGTAAGCATGGTAATTTTTTAATCAAAATAATTTTTGTTTATCCCCCCAAAAAATTGATGACGTCATTTCAAAATACATATGATTAATAGTAAAGGTAGGAATTTGCATTATGTAACGAAAACACACTCGTTTGTCTGGAGTGACCTTGATAAGGAATGGATTAAGGCTATGCCTGTATTAGTGAGTTTTCCCATTTGAGAATGTTCCGATCAACATTATTTCAGCAAGGACACGTCTGTCAATTCCGACACGTGCAGTGCACTCCTAATAATAAAACACTGGGGCGTACCGTTTTTGAAATTTAATCAATAAAAAAAATAAATAGGTAATAGCAGTAACAGTATAAAAACAAAAAAATCCATGCGACATTCGAACGTATGCAAATTTAGCGTCACATGTTATCCTATTTCCAAACGCTTCAAATGTCAGATTACACGTCCAAAAATATCGAAATAACATCAATTCACTCGTGTTTCGTTCCAGGCAAAAAACTCGGCGTCCTCCGCCTCAGCGAGCTCACCTGGTGCACCGTCCCCAGCACGACCTCCGGCGACGCCAACTTCTTCCTCCTCGGCGACGACGGGCGCATCGGCCTCATCGCCGCCGCCACCTCCGTCTCGCTGCTCTTCTGCACCGTGGTGGGCGTGCTCGGCGTGCTGCTCTACTCCCGCCGCCACGCCGCCAAGTACTACACCCACGAGGACAAGCTGGCCATGGACGGCGACTCCATCTTCGAGAACCACAGCCCGCTCTTCTGCGACGACCGCGAGCTCAGCTTCAAGTTCGCCCTCGACGGCGACCGGAAGCTGTCAGTGTCGACCATCGACGAGATAAAAAAGGAGCACGCAATCACCAACGGGACCTGAGAGCGGTAAAAAAGGACCCTAACGACGCCCGAACGTGATTTCAATCAGTTGTTCTTAAAAGACTGACTGTTTCGCTTCTTGTGAAAAACGACAAAAGGTCCGGGAAATTATTTCGTTTGTAGTGTTTGTGTCGCGTAATTCTCTGAAGGAGCGTTCGAAACTCAATTTGCCGGTTTGTAAATATTATTTTTGACTCGACGGGACCTGCGAAATGGGGGCATGATGGGGGCGGAGGGACGGACGGCGGGGCTGGAGTTCTATTCTTATATGGTGTTTTTGTGGGTGTTTTTCTGGGTGGAGTTGGATCATGGCTTTGTTGTAAAGGCACTTGGATATTGGCGATACAAAACACTAGGTCTGAGTTGCTACTTGACTTATATCTATTTTTCTAAATCATGAACTAAATCTTCGAAAAAGTCACAACCTCGATTCAGTAGAGTGTAATTGAAATACAAACTCGCCTAAAATATCTCAAAACTTCAAAAATCTCGGTATTCCAACATCTCTGTTTTACATAACTGAAAAAGTTCCTATTAAAAAAAAAGAAAAATATCAAAATATTAACAGCAAAAACTTGCACCAATTCAACAAAGCGCGAAAAGTAATATGAGATTTGTTTGTGACGTCACAGCAAGATGCTACCGATTCGGGATAGAAACGTAGAATTCGATTAAAAGGCGCCCCTTTGGACACCACTTGTACTTTACCCAATATGTAGCATTAAATGCAGTTTAAAGTTGCAGTTTTACGGTACCAAAAATGTTTATTTAGAGCTTGTTCATGTACAATAGCTTCTACAAAAACATATCACAAATGGCAATCACAGAATCTTTTTGAAGTAATTTTCGCATCTCCCATCCCGAATCGGTCGGAAGTGGTTATGACGTCACCCCTAGATTTATCTTCAGTTAAACTCTGTAATTCGAAAACTACGCCAGCTGTTTTTTAGTCATTTTTCCTTAAAAAAATTGTTACGCATTCTGTTTTTATGTGACACCATTCAAAAGGATTTTTGTCAAATATACAGGGTGATTTAGAGATTATTATTGTCGATTTTTCAGAAACTAAAGTGTTTTAAGGAATATCTCTCTGTCACATATTTTTTGCGACGCCTCTATTATAGCATTTATAGGCATTTTTAAGTTTGTGGCAGCCTAAAATACAACACTTTAACAAAGAGTAGGAAATCGCAAAAATTTTAAACACTTTAAAGTTTTTACAGACTTCTCAAGGAACCATTCAACCACACTTAAAAATAGCTCCTTTCTAGTAGCATTTAATTCAATTGTCGGACATGACGTCATGACGACATTTTCCGATTCAGGATGTGGGATGCATAACTCAGTAAAAAATCGTTGTGCTTAAGCATCAGATTCGCTCGAACGAAACATATCCAATACAGTACAAAAAGAATTATTTTATAAATATTTTTTCGCAAAATAGAAAATATCTAAACCATACTTATACCGCAATATATAACTTTTAGTTTAAAAGGCTTCGTTTTGAAGCGTGAATGAAGCTACTAATGAAAATCTGTGCCTTTGTTCTTATTTGTTTGAGAACGACGAATTTTTCTTTTTTGAGTTGTGGGTCTCACATCCGGGATCGGTTCGATGTTATTATGACGTCACACACATTTGTTAGTTCACTTTAAGTATTCTGATTTTTTTTTTTTTAATATCAATAATTTAATAAATAGGCATCGGATTTTGAGTTACGTATTTTGAAAATATATTAAATAATGTTAATTTTGTGGGAGTCTTTAATTTACTTCTTGTGTATAAAACATACAGGGTGATGAAAAAATGACGTATTTGCTTGATGATACTTTATTAAGAAGGTTCTGAAATTTTTATTAAACTTCAAAATTTAAAAATCAACTTCCTAATTCTGATGTGTTTTAATGGGAATTTAATTGAAAATCTAAAATTTCGATAAAAATTGGCGAAAATTCCAGCAAATTATTATTAAATTATTAATAAGTAATTGTTCACTTGTCTATTAGACAATACAGACTTAAAACAAATCAGAATTATGAAGTTAATTCTTCAAATTTGACCTTCGATATTTTCAAAAAATTGATGCACTAATTTTTTAACCATTTTTCGAGTTTTTGAAAGCCTCTTTAACAACGCACCATCGCGCACATACCACATTTTTTCATCACCCTGTATAATGATTCCAAGACTGTAAGATTTTCAGAGATTTAGACTTTTTGAGAGTACAACCAAAATGAAAAAAATACAGAGTGATAAAAAATTACACTGAATTAAAAAACCTTGAACCTCTGGAACCAAAATTTTGAAAATATTAAACTTCAAAATTTGTCGTGAGTCTTTAATTTAGTTCTTATGTTTTAGACATAAGTACAGGGTGATGAGAAAATTACGCATTTGCTTGATGGTATTTTATTAAGAAAGTTTTGAAATTTTTATAGACTTCAAAATTGAAAAAAATTTTAATGGGAATTTAATTAAAAATCTAAAATTCAGATAAAAATTATGAAAAATGACATCTGTCAACAGTAAAAAAATGACATGAATTGTCCTCGAGCAAATTATTATTAATTTATTAATAACTAATTGTTCAACTGTTTATTAAACAATGCAGTTCATTAAAACAAATCAAAATTACGAAGTTAACTGTTCAAATTTGACTTCAATATTCTCAAAAATTTGATGTAGGAGTTTTTTTAACTATTTTGTTCCAGTTTTTCAGTCTTCTTAAAAATGTACCATCAAGCACATACGGTACTCTTTCATCACCCTGTATAACGATTCCAAGACTGTAAGATTTCAGAGATTTAAACTTTTTTCAGAGGACACCTATAACACAAAATGAAAAAATACAGAGTGATCAAGAATTATACTAAATTAAAAAGTTCTTGAACCAAAATTTTGAAAATATTAAAGTTCAAAATTTGTCGGAAGTCTTTAATTTAGTTCTTATGTATTAAATATACAGGGTGATGAAAAAAGTACATATTTGCGCGATTATTAAGAAGGTTCTGTAATTTTTATAGACTTCAAAATTCAAAAAATTTTTAATGGGAATTTAATTGAAAATCTAAAATTTCTATAAAAATTATGAAAAATGACAGCTGTCAACAGTAAAAAATGACATGAATTGTATTTTAGCAAATTATTATTAATTTATTAATAATTAATTGTTTAACTGTTTATTAGACAATGCAATTCATTAAAACAAACAAAATTACGAAGTTAACTCTTCAAATTTGACTTCAATATTTTCAAAAGTTTGGTGTAGGATTTTTTTTAACTATTTTTTTTCGAGTTCTTCAAAGTCTTCTTAACAATGTACCATCGAGCACATACGGCATTTTATCATCACCCTCTATAAGGATTCCAAGACTGTGAGATTTTCAGAGATTTATATTTTTTTCAAAGTACACCTATACCATAAAATGAATAAATACAGGTGATCAAAAATTACACTGAATTAAAAAAGTCCCTGAACCAAAATTTTTAAAATATTAAATTTCAAAATTTATCGTGAGTCTTTAATTTAGTTCTTATGTATTAAACATACAGGGTGATGAAAAAATTACGTATTTTCTTGATGGTACTATATTAACAAGGTTCTGAAATTTTTATTGAAAAATTGTTTAATGGGAATTTAACTGAAAATCTAAAATTCCGATAAAAATTATGAAAAATTGCAACTGTCAACAGTAAAAAATTACATCAAATTTGACTTCAATATTTTCAAAAGTTTGGTGTAGGAGTTTTTTTAACTATTTTTTTTCGAGCTCTTCAAAGTGTTCTTAACAATGTACCATCAAGCACATACGGCATTTTTTCATCACCCTGTATAACGGTTCCAAGACTAAGATTTTCAGGGATTTAAACTTTTTTCAGAGTACACCTATGACACAAAATGAAAAAAATACAGAGTGATCAAAAATTACACTGAATTAAAAAGTTTTTAACTTCTTAATTGTGGTATTTTTTAATGGGAATTTAATTGAAAATCCAAAATTCCGATAAAAATTGTCAAAAATGACATGTCAGCAGTAAAAAATTACGTGAAAATTATACATAATGCAGTTTATTAAAACAAATCAAAATTACCAAGTTACCTCTTCAAATTTGACGTTCAGTATTTTCAAAACTATGATTCAGGATTTTTTTTAACAATTTTTCGAGTTTTTCAAAGCCTCTTTAACAATGTACCATCGAGCGCATACGGCATTTTTTCATCACCCTGTATAACGATTCCAAGACTATTAAGATATTCAGGAATTTAGACTTTTTCGACGTACAACTATAACACAAAATGGAAACAATACAGAGTGATCAAAAATAACACTCATTAAAAAGTTCTTGAATCAAAATTTTGACAATATTAAACTCCAAGGTAGAAGAATTAACTTCGTCTTCCTAAACTCAAAAATTCCAAAAAAAAATAAATTCTAAAATCGCATCTGACAGCGGTAAAAAGTGAATTCGTCGATCGCAATCAAGCAAATTATTATAAAATTATTAAGAAATAAATGTTTATTTATAAACAACTGTTATTTAAGATATAGTAACATCTAAATAGTTGTTAATTTTTCAAATTTGAAGTTTAATATTTCCGAAAATCTGGTTCAAGAATTTTTTAGCTAATTCTCAGCAACGTACAATCGAGCTTATCCATGATCACCCTGTATATTAGATTTCACTAATGTAAAACGAAAATACAAACTTCCTTACCTTAATAATTAAAAATTGCTTTTTAAAGACCATTAAATATTCTGAAGTGTTTCAAATTTAGGTAAAAACTGGATTTCCCGATTTCCAGAAATATTAACCATTTTTTTTCAACAAGCAGAAAAATTTTGAAAAATTTTTAGTTTCATACGTGGAAAAGCAGTATCCCTAATTTGAATTTTGATTGACTTGTTACATATTTTCACTCAATCTGACCTGACCCGACCTGACTGTAATGATGAAATAGATTAAATTTATGCCTATTATGGTAGACAAAAAATACGTAAATCTATGTTTTTTTTTCGTGCCTTTTCAGTAAATGTTTACATTTTTCATCCTATAAAAGTTTTAGATTTAAATTAAAAAAAAAAGAAAATAAAAGTTTACTTTTGAAGGTAAGCACTTGCCGGGCTGCTACCTTGACCACTAGGCTACAGAGTGTCTTGATTCATCAACAGGTACTAAATATAGAAAAGCTTATAAATCGCCAAAAATTCGATATTTTCAAACAGTAAGGATTATTTTGACTTTAAATCAAAAACTTTGAGATTTTGAAAAACACATATTTTCATTTTATTTTTAAACACATGTTAAGATTAACAAGAATAATGTTAAAAAGAAACAGACATTCTAACAAGCTGGGATGAGTCATGTAAAAGTAAGGTCCCAAAATCATCCAAAAAAGCAACGAAAACAGAGACTTGCCAGATATTGTAATTTTGATATGGTATATATTAATGACCGAAGTGTGTTTTAAGGTTGCTAAGAGTGTTAGTTTTACAAAACTAATAGCTTCCTTCTTACTGTTTTATCATAGTATATAAGGTCATGTAGTATTTTTGAGACTCAATTTCTAAAACGTGGTAATCCTAGCCAGTTGTAGCTAGAATTCCTCAAATTTTGACTATTTTATGGTAGTGATAGAAATATTGTCGAACTTAAAATCTGTGTCTTCTTCATCACCACTATTTTTATGAATCGCTGTGTCCCCCCTCCACGAAACCCCTGTCTTTTTGTAAATATAGTTTTGATTTAACGTGACCGTTCTGCCATAGAGAGCTCGTGATTGCGTCTAGCCCGTACAAATGGCCCGATTGTGCGGGGAATAACGGCCGGCTCTAGCCCTAACACTCTTATTTAACTCGACTTTATTGTGATTGCGTCTGGCCTTAGCCAAATTACAGGGCGGTGCCAATATCTTTTCATTCTGTCTTCCTTTCCGTATTTTCCGTCTAGTTGCGAGTAAAACGAGCTGTGAAATGAACGTGCTAAATTAAAGGAGATGGAATATTTTATAAGCTGGATTTTAAACAACGACTCTCTAATTTTTATACGGCCTATTCTTTTCTACTTCGATTACATTCGGTGTCTTGTCGGTGTGCGCTTCGAGGACTACGGCGCCGGCAAACGATAAGAATTTGGAACGAAGTAGGCGCGCCACTTCGTCCGTCGTTTGCTGGCACTGGCTTCACCGTCTCATTCCTGTGCTGTATTAGAGTAGCGCGTCCGGGTGGCCACTAGTCGGGTTCGTCGACGAACGAAGCGGCAATCCCCACCGCCGGGCGCGTTGTGTACTTAAGTTATTGTGTGATTTTGTATCGAGTCTTACGAGGATATTTTGATTACTATAAGCTTTTACATTTTATATATAATTTTAGATGGTATATTATATATTTATGGAAGGAAACCGCACTGTACAAACTACGTAAGGTTGTTAATTAAATTAAAATTAATGTTTCATAAAAGGAGTTTTATTATCCCTGCTGTCCGCCGTGTCGCGGCTGCTATTGTGGCTAATAACTTTTTTACGTCTAATTAGGATTCGTTAAGATGAGAAATGATGAAAGGGCGCCGAATCTTATAAAACTTTTGATTGCATAATTTATTAGCTGGGCTTCATTATTGCGCTTCATCTTCCGGGTTAGCACCAACGGCCGCTCCAGGCGAGGAGAAAATAAAACAGGTAAGCAGGAGTTTTCATTGCACGTAGTTTGTTTTTAATTTTAAGTTACGTTAATTGCTTTACAAAAAATAAAAACGTTTTTGTTTTGAAAAACCTAAATTAAAATGAGTAAATCTTACGAAATTGAGATATTCTAGTCAGTGGACTATTTAGATTCTGGTCTAAAGTTCACTTTTGTGGACACTTGGAATTAAATATAATATATTCTGACATTTTTAAAGACTATTTTAGTAAAAAAGTTTCAGGATATTCTACGTAGTTTGTAAGAAATTGTAAAGTTATTTAAATAGAACTCCCGTCGCCTCTGTAGTGCGAGCAATTATCAAGTTCTGTTCAATAGAAGAATTATAGAAAAGATACCAAGGACCTTCAAGATCCTTTCATATGCTTAAAAAAAGACACTCTCAGAACTAGACACCAGGATCTTTTAAAATCTTTTCAAACTCTTTCAAATACAAAACGCAAGAAGTTCCAAATTTTTGCACATTCTTTAAAAAAGACACCAGGGGTTCTCAATATTTTACATATTTGAAACGAGACACTAGAAGTTTTTGAGACACCTTCAATTTCAGGTCTCAGGTTCTTTCACATTCTTAAAAAAAAGACACCAAAGACCGTCAAGATCCTTTCACATGCTTGAAAAAAGACAATAGGATCTTCCAAGACCTTTTCAATTTACTTCAAAAACTAAATACAAAAGAGTTATCTAGTTCCAAGAAAAAAAGAAGCCCCAAGGCTCTTCCACATTCTTTAAAAAAAGGCATAAGCGCTATCAGGATTGTTTTCTTCA